TTTTAAGTGGGAGAAATTGCACAATTGGCGGCTGACTAAATACTTTTTTACCCCACTGTAAATGGTACAAAATAATGCTAAGGGAAAAGGAGAGAAGGAATTTGAAGTGCCACATTATGATGTTGAAGATCCCAAGAACGATGTAAGCTTGGAAAAACCCTTCTTCCCCCCCAAAAGAAAAAAAATAGTTGTTTATGGTAGCAACACAGACAGACAGACAGGCAGATAAAAGCCAATAAAATGAAGCAGTGTAAGCAGTACTGGAGATATTTAGCCAAACAAAGTACAAGGGCAAGTTAGTACTTGTTTAATGAAATTCTAGTTTCATACAGGAAAACCCCCAAATTGCACACTAAAGAGTGAATAGGCAAGGGTTTTTTGGTGAAATTCTACAAATCACATGAAAATACTCCATTTCTAATCTCATTCTGGTCCAGCTGAAATCTCATTATATACATATAGTTCTCTAAGACTGCTGTTCATATAACTATAAAATAGTGCCTCTGCAGAAAAGAAAAAGTTAATAGACTTATACAATGTCAAGTAGCCACAGAAGGCTGATGGAATGTTGAGAAAAAAAAATCCAATGAAGGAAGAATAGAATGAACGGTATCCTTAACAGAAGCACGCTAAACTGCAACATTTTATTGCAGGTCCTACTTACTCTATGATTGCAAAAAAGTTAAATACCTATCAATTTGATAGCAAAATGGACTCATCTGAAAAAGGACAATGATTTTTATGTAAAAGATGCCTTATATATAAATATATAACTTGCAAATTTTTTAAAAAGGCACTTTAAAATAATATTTCTGAAAAATTCAATACTGCCTGAAAGAAAGCTGTGACCTTGTCAAAATTATGGTGGCTACGAAATTAGAGGGCAGGTGGATGTGAGTGTGCACTGTTATCAAATCTATAGCTGATAGCAGTTTGACAGAAGGACTTCAATTCTGAGTTGTCTTTCTGCAATCAGAAAAGCTCCTACTATTTACCAGGGGCTAGAGAATGCTGAATGTGACAACATTTTTTTCTAGGTATTAATGTAGCAGACACAGGTTGACAGTAGGCACAGATTTCTTTAAAACATGCTGCTATTAAAGCAAGCTTGTTAGTTAGTATCCTTAATCCTCATAGTTATGTCCACAGAAACACATATATCTAAGACGATCATGAAGTTTTCTGGATTTATAACAACATTTTTTCCAATTTGTTATAAGGTAATATAGTGCCAACACTACATAATTAAGATTCAACAGTAAATGTAAACCAATGCTAATAAATTACAAAAAGCTGAGTTATTAAAACTTAAAAATAATTTAACAAATCCTTTTCTAATCAAAGAGATCTTGTACTAATCCCAGAATATTTCCAGGATCATGATATATAACTAACTTTATTGATTATGTGCCATCAAGTCATTGTCAACTCTAAGCCACTACATAAATAGATTTTCTCTGTGATATTCACTTTATAGTTTATTTCAAATAAACGGGTTATAACATTAATGCACTTTGGAAAGTAATAAAATACAATGAAAACTGTACATAAACCACAGAAGAGACTTCAGGAAAATAACATACCTAAAACAACTCTAAAATCTGTACCATCTAGGTGTAATACCCAAGTGTTTGTTGTTTTTGACCGGTTCTCCAGATACTTCTTGAGGCTTTTTCCATCTATTTCCAGAGTATATTCATATGCAAATCCACTGACTGCATCAATATTAATGCTAGCCTTTGTTTTAGCCGCTCCAACTGTAAATGTCTCCTTTCCCACTAATTTAAACATCCATTCTTTTCTCATTATTTCCTATGTATGAAAAAAGACATTAATTAAGTCACCCTCCTTAGGGGGAGATGGGCAGCATATAAATTTAATAATAAATTAAAAAAATAATACAATGTAGCTGACCCTGACTTTTTATTTGGACAATTGGGACAGGAAGCTGCAAGAAGATGGGCTACCTACTCAGATTGTACTCACATGCTCATTTCCCCAATTTGGGGTAGAAGCATTTGCAGCACTGTGTTGGTCACTTGAATGAGATAGGCCTACTCTCCTTCTCCACCTTCATCTGCTTTTTTGCCCCTCACAGAGAAAGAAAACATAGCCAGAATTGATCCTGTGGGATAATTCAGCTATAAATCCAGAAGCTGGAGTTCAATTCCCATACGCCAGAATGAAAGGAATCATCATACTGTCAAGATGCCCTTTCCTTTGCTCTTCTGCTTGAAAAAAAGCAATATAGGGAAAGGAAGGAGGGGCTAAAGGGGAGGTCAACTGAGGGACCCTCTGATGTTAAAGGCCATTTTTCTCACAAACAGAAGTCTATTTATGGTAATGAAAACATGACTGACTCTGGCTGCAATAGATCAATAGGAGGAAAAAGTATAGAAAGAAAAAGAGATAAGGGAAATGCAACAGGAAAGAAATAAGGAGATAAGCTGGTATGGCCAGACAAGCCTATCGCAACACGTCTCTTGAGGAGTACTCTTTTAGCTAACCAGATCTACACAAAATATGCCAATTTTTCAAAGAACTGGGTGCATTTTATATAAATATCCTACCTTTCCATCTACATACACAACACGTTTTCCTGATGTGGTCCCATGTTCAAATTCAATTTTGTGAACACCATCACTCAGACCTACTTCCCAGACAGCCACCAGGTCTGTCATTCTGTCTAGGTAACTGTAGTGAGACATACAAGAACAAAACATTTAAATATATACATTTGACCTACCTCAAGCAGTACCATTCAACATTGAAATATGCTTCTAAAGTGGCTTCAACTTAGCGAGGGCCTCTTTTTGGAAACTTAATTAAATTTACAGAACTTACTATGCAGCCCTTTAAATTATGAGCTTAGTCTTTACCAAAGATTTTGGTCCCTGAGGCATATGCATATCCTTATCTATATGCATATTTATATCTTTAGTATACCTAATAAAAAAAAAGAAAACAACAGTGACACATTACATTAGATGTAGCAAAAATCACTCAGCCCAATTTTTAAAGACCTTGTTAAATCCTGAACAGAGTAACATTGATCAGTCTTTTCATTGTACTCATACAAGGTCAGTTTATAGACAGAAAGTGAACACATATAATTGTTCCAAGACTGAAAGTTTTCTTGGAATATTTATTCCCAGAAAATCCCAATTTTTACAATTTTCATTGTAAACCCTATAGGAAATACAGTACTGTGCAAAAGTTTTAGGAAGGTGTGAAAAAATGCTGTAAAGTAAGAATGGTTTCAAAAATATATATTATAATTGTTTGTTTATCAATTTACAAAATGCAAAGTGAACAAACTGAAGAAAACCCCAAAGTAAATCAATATCTGGTGTGACCACCCTTTGACTTCAAAACAGCATTAATTCTTCTAGGTACACTTGCACACCATTTTTGAAGGAACTCAGCAGGTAGGTCATTCCAAACATCTTGGAGAACTAACCACAGATCTCCTGTGGATGTAGGCTGCCTCAAATCCTTCTGTCTCTTCATGGAATCCCAGACAGACTTGATGATGAGATCAGGGCTCTATGGGGGCAAAACCATTTCCAGGACTCCTTGTTCTTCTTTACGCTGAAGATAGTTCTTAATGACATTGGCTGTA